GGTGGCTTTCCTTCGTATTGCAACACAACTCGCAGCGTAATATGTTATTCTGGCAGAGACGAATATTTTGTCCTTTTCTGATCAATTATGAAAAGTTACGGATAATTTAGGTAACCTGACCCTCACATCGATTGGAGTTTCCGGCGGCCAATGAGACGCAACAGCTGGCGGCCAGACAATTGCAAGGGGCGTTAAAAACACAGAACCCATCATCTATCATGAAAGTTCATCTGTGTTGGTAGCTACAATGTTTAAAGTTAAAACTTTTGTTCCAACACAACAAAGTTCTCTCACCTAGAGCTTTCGACCAGTCACTCTGGTCTTCCTCAGTAGACTGACCCAGTGAAGCTTGTCACGTGGCTTCTTTGAAGTGTGACGTCAACACTGGGTCCTGAGTCAAAGGTATCTGGTAGACGATGTCGGCCCCCGTCGCGGTTGAGTGAAGGGTGATGGGCCCTGATGAAAATAGCCTCTTTCGCCCCTTTCAGGAAATAGCCTTGTTCAGTGTCCAACATTCTTACAGTGTCCAGTGAAAAGCCACGTGACAAGCTTCACTGGGTCAGTCTACTGAGGAAGACCAGAATGACTGGTCAAAAGCTCTAGGTGAGAGAACTTTGTTGTGTTGGATCAAAAGTTTTAACTTTAAATAACCTATCATCTGCTTAGAAAAAACTATTAGCGCACACCCATAAAAGCCTACGAGATAAATGACCTGTTCCACAACTCCCCCAAAATATGGGTGTTTTCTGACGGAATGTTACATTATTACCTATAAAAAACTGTTTCTGTGTAAAATATATTTTTAGGGAGCGAGTATGGTAGCTCCGGTATACAATACAAATAGGATGGCACCCAGGCTATGTAATTGTAACTTAGTCATATAATGAAGACAGTATATCTGCAACTTTCAGTATTTGGAAAACCAACCTTATGCTCAATTTCATCTTTCAAGTTGGCCGTCAAAGCTGTATCAAAGTGAGCTGTATCGCATTTTTGCCTAACAGATATCAGTATAGTATGGGATAGAGTTGATTCAACTTACTAGTACTTCATTGAACGACCTTCCAGAAAATTGACTTTGAAAATCCAGCTTTGCCGCCCTGAAATTATTATTGCATTGACCAACAACAGATCTGCCAGAAGCGTACAATTTATCTAGTCGGGCTGGGAAAATTGGAAGAGGAAAAAAACAAGTGATTGTGATGCCGTGTAACCTCTCAGGCACTTAGTCTCCTCTTCCGAAGAGCTGGAACTAATGTATTCTTTCCGAGCCCGCTAAGTGGCTCTTTGAAATTTCCACTAGAAACGCTACTAATGATGCAGAGCCTAACGGATCCATCTGGAGCATACCACCTCGGATGGACACGGGGGTGTGCAGGACCAGACGAGGCCAATTCTACTTGTAAATCAATTCTTCAATTTCGTCAATTCTTTATTGTTATATCAACATTGCAGACATACACATAATGTTGCCTGAATGACATTGATATTTACAATACTAAAATACACGTATATACAAATGTATACATGGTTCTAATATGAACTGTACATGACAAGTACCATTCTGATTATATAGTCTGATTATAGAGTCTGATGGACTGATGTAGGAAAGAGTTCTGGGTGGGGGATGAAAGTGGTGTTTTTTGTTTCTGAATGAGCGTACGGTAGCTGCTGAGCTAGAGACAGGGACAAGGTCATGTAGGGGGCGGTCGTCTTGTGTGAAGAGTAGAAGTAGTGCAAAAATACATACTAGGCCACAACAAGTAATTTTTACCTTCGCCAAGAAGGTTATGTTTTCAGTAGCGTTTGTCTGTGTGTGGGTATGTGTGTTTGTGTGTGTGTGGTTTAGCAAGATAACTCGAGAAGCAGTAAATGGATTGGAATGAAACTTGGTAGGTGGGTAGGTCTTAATGAGACCTAGAAATTATTAGATTTTGGGCCCCCTGGCGGCTTTCCTAGGTACTGCAGCTGAACTTCCGGTTTTGATATCTCATGTTCTGGACATGCTAGGGTCACGAAGTTTGGTTGGTAGAATGCTCTTGTGGTAGGGAAGAAGTGACGTGAGTTTGGGTCCCCTAGCGCCTTGTTCTGGAACTGCAGGAGCATTTGTTGAAAAAATTTGAAGGACGATAACTCAAGAACCGGTTGACGTATTGTCGTGATTTTTGGTATGTAAGTAGTATAAGTGATGCTTGACATGATCAGATGGCAATTATGCAAATCAGGCGCTAATTTGCATAATTAATGAGGAAATTCTATAACTCTGCTTTGTTCGATAATAGAACTATGAAACACTTGTGACATCTACTTGAGAACGAGAAAAACATCTGAGGATATATATTATGTAAATGAGGACCTAATTTGCATAATTAATGGAAAATTCTTATAATTTCATAGCTGTAACTGCTGCACCCCGAATTTCATACTTGCCACATTTGGAAGTTAAGTGAAGGTGAACATCAACAAACATAATTTATTCAAATCATGACCTCATTTGCATAATTTATGAGGAAGTGCTAAAATAGCCTTTTTGTTATGATAAGGCTGTCATTGGATGAAGAATATGATCAACTGACATAGTCCATGCAAATGAGGCTCTTATTTACAAAATCAATGATTAAAATTGTATAATTCGTCACCCGCAAGGGTTAACCTCATTTGGCGAAGGTATGAGATTGTGGAACTCTTGTTATGGATGACATCCTCCACAGACTCCAAATCTAATGCGAGCGGGCGAAAAAAAACAAGGTGGGCCGAAAAAACAAGGTTACTACATTTTAAAATTTTGACTCAATCATTGTACAGATGGTTTTGATTCATTGGGAACATCACATATACACAGCCAGCATCACATATCACTGCATCAAAGTAAGAAACAAAACATTAAATCAGAGCCTTTTCTTGTCTCCTCTCTTTATAGTTATCTGCCATACAACTTCTGGCTTGGCAACAGACATCTTTGCACATTTTCGGCATGGTGACCACTGTCAGAAGGCAACAAAATTTCTTGTTTTTTTTCCCAAATCAGGCGAAAATTAATGCGCGCGCTGATGTCATCCATAAAAATTACTTGCTGTGGCCATATATTAAAAAATGGGACAACTTTTTGCCAGAGGACTTGGCCGTTTAGGCATAGGCAAAAACTCCACTGGCAAATTATTTAGCATATTTGGCCAATTCCCATCATATCGCCAGCAAGTTGAAAAGACCTGCTCAGGCTAATTTTAGTCCGTGTCATCGGTGTGCACAAGAAACCAAAGGAAGCCAGCAATCCAAAGTCTTCTGTGAGAATAAATCGCCCATTAAAGGCATCCAGTTCAGTTTTTAGGGCTTGGAAAACCGATTTTTCAAAACGAATATTCTAGTCGTACTGAGTTGAAACCATACTATCCCAATGTATATGGACCCTCATGGAGCAGACATTCCCAAAAATTCTGACAGAAACTGGTTATTTACTGGAACGGCCCTGGGCTGATTTTTAGGGTACCACCCAGAAAATTAAGGACTCATCTTGGGGCTTGTTCCTGCAGTTTTAAATGCCCAAAGTATGAAATGCTGATCTAAATGTGCGAACGTGAAGCAGTACTGTCAACACCACAAAGATTGCCTTAGAATATTTCCAGTTTTTCTGCCCTGAAATCGCATTGGATGACGTTAAGAAGTTATAACATGCATATGGTACCGCAGAAGGGTGATAATTCTGAAAATGGACAGAAGGGCGAGAATTGTAAAAAAAATTGTCCTGAAGATGCGGTGAAACGGGCAATCACAATTCTTCGCACACATCAACATCAGCAGGACTCCATTCAAACGTGTTCAATGACCAGTTTGCGGCGCGGTCGTTACCGCGTGAAGTGGAGCTTCAGATTACAACCAGCGTCAACAGGCTGTACCTTCTGACTAGCCTCCGCCGCAGACCATACGGCGCATTTCTTTTCAACTAGCTACGTGCAGTGTTCAGATCTAGACAGCTTCCGGCTTCTGATTGGTTGTCGGGTATCGTTCTAGACAGCTTCCGGCTTCTGATTGGTTGTCGGGTTCCAGATAGCTTCCGGCTTCTGATTGGTTGTTGGGTTCTGGATAGCTTCCGGCTTCTGATTGGTTGTCGGGTTCTAGACAGCTTCCGGCTTCTGATTGGTTGTCGGGTTCTGGATGAGGAAATCTGTCTGATATTGACATTTACTGCCATTTTTGTCATTATTTCATATTTGGAGCATTTCAAATAGCCCCATAACTGCACGCTACATGAGGTGTCTCTTTATTTCTGGGGTACCGCCCATAAATAGCTAGAACCAGCCTATGATACAAAACAAGCAACCGTTTTCCATCAGCGATATACCATTACCATGGTGACAGACGTCTGGTTCAGTACTCTCCAAGCAGAGGTTTGGGTTTTGGGGGTATTTTTAGCGTGTTTTTGGGCTTTTTATCGGGGTTTCTCTTTTGCACTGAATTTTTTTCCTCCAAGCAGAGGTTTGGGTTTTGGGGGTATTTTTAGCGTGTTTTTAGGCTTTTTTTATCGGGGTTTCTCTATTGCACTGATTTTTTTCCCCATCAAACCCCCAAAAAAATTCAGTGCAAAGGAGAAACCCTGATAAAAAAGCCTTAAAACACGCTAAAAATACCCCCAAACCTCTGCTTGGAGAGTATGGTTCAGGTCATTGTGATTGGAAAATAAGAAACTGAGCAAAAATAATATGTTTTCCTTCGGTAAATACAAAAAAAAATGCCCGGTGGGGTCTGCAACGGAGGCTATCCTCAGACGAACCGGTTAGAATTCACGCCTGTTGCCGTTACGCCCAGTAACGATGTGCCGGCACGACAGGTCCGACAATCATACGCTGATTAAATTGCTAGCTGCCCATCACTGCTGATCGGCTCCACTAAATGTAGAATTTGTATTCATTAGAAGTGAATAGTCCACGAAAGTAGTATAGCGTGCACAGAATGAATACTCATATTCAGGTGATGTTGCCTCATTGGCAAAATTTATGCAGTTTCAAAAATAATATTTTTCTATACAAATGTAACAATTGAAGGGCTATTAATATTTCTACAAATCATATTACACAATCTTAATATGATAGCAATATAATCAATGAATATTTTCAATTCCTATCATATTTATTTTCTTTTACTTTGAGGAAATTCACCAAATTACAAAATCGGGTCCATAGGCATAGTCTAAGAATTGAAGACAGTACTTAATGCTTACTGCTCCTTTCGGCTATTACACATTAAGGTTCCTCACAAGAAAGAGTATGGGCTATAAAATCCAGAATGGCAAAAAATAATCAAAGCGCAGACTCAGGACCTTTAGTGACATAGTTATGATATATGTCAGTACTCTTCAACACTATTATTGCCATCTTAATTTTGACAGTAAAAGTTATTAAAAAGTAAAAAAATACTACTCGTACATCAATTAATCATTTATGTCACAGAATTGGTGACCTCTGTCCTTTGACCTGTATGACTCCTGACCTTTACCCCATAGACCAGGTCATCCCTGCAGCCTACAACCAGCAGGTCTCCCCAGACAACAGGAGAGGAGAAAACTTCTCCCGGCAGCGTCAGGGTGGACAGACAGCTTCCTGAGTCCAAGGTCAAAATGTACAGTGTGCCCTTGGTGGAAGCAACAGCCACGCATGGGTGACCTTGAGATGTACTGACAGCTGTGGTGCTGTCCTTTTTAGTTCTCACTTTGGCTATAGCGTCAACTGAAGGCACTGGTGAATGAGACATGTTAGGAGACTGTTTCTGGTTTAAGATTTCGCTAGACTCTAAGACTGTTGTGGAGCCTGCATGAAGGTGAAAGACAAAGGGTGTGGCGTACACAGCTGAGTCTGTTTCAAACTTCCACCTGAGATGACCTTGGGCTGTTAGACAGTACACATGGTGATCATGTGACCCCACAACAATCACATCCTGTCCCTCCAAAACGTCACTTGTTGATGATGATGATGATAAAGATGGAGATGAGAAGATGGGGCCGGCGGTCGTGAAACTCCAGGTGATGTTGCCACGGTGATCCACGCAGTACAGTTCTCCATCCACACATCCCACGTAGATCCACCGCGATGTGATACGAGGGGAAGAGAAGATGGGCTTGGGGCAGGCAGTGCGCCATAGAACAGCACCTGTATCCTATTAGAACACAGGACATTACCATTTATTTACATCTCTTCTTGCAATTCAGTCCAACATGAACTACATTAGTTTTGTACTAACTACCTCATGAGGGCTTGTCCACTTTGGTCACTTCTAGGTTGTTTTTTTAGATTAAGCATAGGTATGGTCAGCTTCCTGTCAATGATGGCCACCTGTCTATATGGTGACCACTTTTGCTAAGACCCTTGAATAGTTGCTATACCCAAGTTTACTACAGTTTTAAGATTACAATTAATAAAAAAGGTATCAATTTTGGGCCACTAGTGACCCTGATGCAAGGAAAACCATGTACACATATGATGGGAGAGCTGACGAGTTCATGACCTATGTTGGCCTTGCTGGATCCCACTTCTGACACCATGTTGTAGATTTAGCTTCTTGACTTGAACTACTTGGAGATAGAAACTGGGTTTCTAACTGCTGTATGCAAGGCATTTGTTTGTGAAAAGTAAGTTCAGTTCAATACCCAGGTGAAGAGAAAGGGTATATATATATCCAGATGGTTTGAGTTGAGGATCATATTACTATTAATGACTGTTCTATAACAGTGGGTACAGGATCTTCTTCTTCTTTCATTTGAGGCAGGCGCCTTCAACTAGCTGAAGATTCTGCTGCCTTTTGTGGCTAGTACAGGGGTTCCCCAGGCCTCCATCTGGGTGATTTGTAGTGAATCACCAACTCCCAGACAGTAGAATTTTGTACCATCGCACACCGGGGCATGCCCCTACTCTTTTTCGAATGGTGTGGTGGGTTCTTTTACGTGCGCGGGTTATGGCTCTCCCCAAACACGGGACCTTCATTTAATGTCCTATCCGAGGCTAGGTATTCATTCACACCCGAGTGAAGTGAGGAAAGTCATGTAAAGTGCCTTTCCCAAGGGCACAAGATCGGTGACATGGGTGGGGATCGAACCCAGGGCCTCTAGGTCCTGAGCCGAAAGCGCTACCACTGCGCCACACGACCCCACTACAGGATGTTCAGATGGGTGTACAGAAAGTACGCAATGGAACAAAATATGACTCACTGGGGCATCATAGCAAAACACTCTCCTTTAACAAAGACAGAGTGGAGAAAGTCTGTGGTAAGACATGATTACCGGGTTGATGGCGATCAGTATGCCTGTCAGTGTTCCCACACACAGCAGTCTGGGACTGGACCCCAGGCATGGTGAGGAGAACACAGAACCTCCACCACAGTGGGTCTTCCACACACAGCACTGAGCCTGGGGATATACACAGGTACACAGTCACTAGATGTATAACACTAACCATGATTTCCTATAATGTCCAGACCATGAGATATCAAAACTGGAAGTTCCACTGCAGTACCATAACAAGTGCCAGGTGGCTCAAAAAATCTAATCATTTCGAGGTCCCATCAAGGCCTACCAACATACCAAATATCAAGACAAGCCTTCTTGAGTTATCACCTTTATTGACAGACAGATGGAAACACACAAACACACAAACGCTACTGAAAACATAACCTTCTAGGCAAAGGTTATAATTTACATTTATTGGAAACATAACTGGCCAGGAGTAATTTATCGAAAAACAGTAATGATTTAAAGGATTCTGGTCATTTGGCAAATATATATGACTGGTTTATTTGCAAAAATAACACACATACTACATACATAGTACAGTAAGTTGGAAGCTTTTTTGCAGCCGAGAGGCTGAATTAAGCAGTTTTTACAGTTACAAACATTATACATATTTTGAAAATGAAAAGCACGGCATATACATGGCTTGTGCATAAACATCAATTTTGGGCTAGACTAGTGCACATTTTATGCACAAACAACTGTTGCACGTAACAAGGACAAACAGCAACAACTAATGAAGAGAAAATACAGGACTAAATGTGTCAGCTGACCTTCAGATCCAGAGCGTGCACGTGCTGATCATGTGACCCAACAAAGACAATCGAAGATTTCGTATCCAGGCAAGGGCTAGACTTCACTGCACCTCCTGTGTGGTAACGCCATCGTATCGCCCCCGTCCGCGACTCGAGAACGTAGACACAGTTGTCATAGCAACCTAATGGAAGGAAATGTCAGACATCATTAATACCACCGTAAATAATTTCATCAGGTTGGTAAACGACTGAATAGCAAAGGTCTTTTTATCACAATCATTTATTTTTCAAGCCGACGTTTTGATGACCGTCTGTCATCTTCATCAGGACAATTCTGACTGGTTTACTGTGCACTGACACTAGATGTTACTTGGTGCATAGTACACTAAAGGTGTTACATAGTTCATAGTGCACTTAAATTGTAACACCTTTAGTGCACTATGCACCAAGTAACATCTAGTGTCAGTGCAAACTAAACCAGTCAGAAGTGCCCTGATGAAGATGACAGAAGGTCATTGAAATGTCGGCTCGAAAAATAAATGGTTGTGATAAAAAGAACTTTGCTATTCAATCATTAATACCAGTTCTATAGTTTTGAGTTCCTAACATCTAAGATTTAATCATATTTTCCAGACAATACTTGCCAGGTGGTATCCAAGCAGATGTAGGGCCTGTTTTTGTTTTTTTTTCAAAAGAAAGATTTTATGTTTGCCTTCACAGAAGGAAAACATATTGTTTTAGCTTGGTTTCTTCTTCTTCGCAAATAAGGTCAATGACCTGGACCAGATGGCTGTCACCATGGTATTGGATTACATTATGTATCAAGTGATACAAAGTTAGAGGGGCTGGTCACCCTATTATATGAATGTGTTTGAGTAAGACTAAACAGAGCAGTAGTTTGTTCCCTTATATATATTAGAAGGTAAACGTTATGCATTTGCTTTGCAACTGTGACCTTTCTACTTTACATCATATCTGGTATCATCCATAAAATCCCCTTTCTTATCAACAAGAGTGGCGTTGGGTGGTGTAGTGGTTAGAGCGTTCGACTATGAACCGGGAGACCCGGGTTCGATTCCGAGTCGTACTCGGGGCATGTCTGAACATGCGCCCCGACGTTGTGCCCTTGGAAAAGGCACTTTACACGAATTTCCTCACTCCACCCAGGTGTGAATGGGTACCTAACTTCTGTTGGGGAAAGTCGTATTGAGGTCACCTGGCGCCGAATGGCTGCCGTATAGACCCTTGTGACAGTTCCACAAAAATTTGTGGAACAAATATGTGTATCATGATTGTGTATTATTTGATTGTTGTGATTTGTCTTGATTATTATGTGATACCCTGCATCAATTCAGCCGTATAAAGGCTGCGACTGCACGGGTACTGTTTGGACAATAAAAACCATTTTAAAAAAACAAACAAACAAACAAACACTGAGACATTCTCACCCACAATGATGAGTTCCCCATCAGTAGAACAACAGGCTGAGGATTCAACCCTGTCCCCCAGCTCTGTGTCCCACAACAGGTCCCCTGTATCCATGGCAACTGCACAAAACCTGTGGGAGTGTGAGCCGATGAACACAACCCCTGCTGGGTACCAACTGGAAAAACAAATAAGATTGATTATCATGAAAGTTCATCTGTGTTGGTAGTAATCATGTTGAATAATGTTGAACTTTATTCCGACACAAAGATTAAACAGAACAAATTTTCAACAACCACTGTCACCTTCATCAGAAAAAATTGATAAATAAATAAATTAATTTAGATTAATAAACCATAAATTAACAAAGCAATTAACATAAAAAGCAGCACTTAGAACATGATGCAACATTGTGTTGTGTACATTGGAAATTGCAATAAAAAAACTCGCAGTACAGAAATTCATCTATACATACACACACACAAACACACACACTCAGACACAGACAGAAATACATGCCAACAACAAATTTCACTTCATTTGGGCGAACTACTAAACATCCAGCAAAACTTCGCCTTTTGTGCTTCAGGGCTCGAAATTCATTTTTGGGAATAGGTGCACTGGTGCACCCAACCTACAAAATTGGGTGCACAAAAAATTTTTGTGTGCACCATATAAAACAAAACATCTGAAATGGGAGCTTCAAAATCTTAAACAGTACTGCAACATAGATTTTATTGTTTTTCTGACACTTATATGCCAAGAATATCCTGTATACATTTGATATGTGAAAAAATGCATGTACCTACAAAAATATTTGTGTGTACCAGTGCACCCACAGAAAAAAATTGGGTGCAGAGCTCCAATTTTGGGTGCACTAAGGTGCACATGCACCCAGTATTTCGAGCCCTGTGCTTGGTCAACTGCTAAAAACAGCAATACTGTACACTAGATAAAACATGCAGTACCTGACATCAGTGATTAGAAGTGGCGAGGCGTCCACACATTTTCCTGTGTCACATGTCCACCCTGTCTCCATGGAAACAGTGGCTTCTGTTGCTAAGCAACTGACATCTTCCCTAGCTGCAGTTGACGATGTAACATCTGGTGCTACGCAGTGAACTTGTCCATTCTCCTCTATGCTGGGTTGGAGACAAACAGTTTGGGAACCTCTCTGCACAGCTAAAGCACAGTTAGTTCTACTAACATCTTGTGACACCTGTGTTCTTTTATGGACCGGTCTTAGAACACTGTCTTCAGATGTCTTCATCTTCTTTGGCAGCTGCTCACCTGAATGTCTGATCACAGATCTCTTCTCCTGAGACTTTTTGTCTTCTCCAGACATTTTTCTGGAACTAGATTGTCCCTTATGTAGTATATGTTCTTGTGTAATCTCTAATTTTGAACTGGAAGGTTCGTTGATTTGGACGTTGTTCTTTTCCTGTAATACAGACTGTGCATATCTCACGAGGTCTCCTAAGGTCTGATGTAAGATGATGTCCAGGGCGTGAGGAAAGGTGTGTCTGAATGTGTCCTGCAGGTTTTCTGCCAGCTGGACTGCTGTGAGGGAGTCTCCTCCACTGGACAGGAACGACAACGTCTGGTTCTCCTCCTGGTCTGTTGTCAGGGTTCCCCCAGATCGCTGGAGAAATCATGAAAAGAAACCTACAGTGGGTGTCACTGGAAGACAGACGAAAAACGTCCAGACTATGCATGACGTACAATTAGTGACTAATAAACTGGTGGAAGTACCAACTACTAAGTACCTAATACCAGCCCAGAAGAGAACAAGAAATAGTTATGCCTTCAAGTACCGGAGTTATCAACAAAGAATTGGGGTTTTCAAAAACTCTTTCTTCTCTAGAACTACTGGAACTCTCTGTCACCGAGTACAGTAAGGGGCATTATCATTAGATAGCTTTAAACAATGTTCAGAGTTAGATGTTAAAGCATAAGGTGTAACAAGTTGATCGGTGTAATATAGCCAGCTGCCGCCACGCCGCGTGCCTGTGAAGCTGTGTGTTACGCTGAAGGGCAGTTATACCGGCTATACAGATACAGATACAGATAAATGGTAAGTTATAGATATGAAAAAATTAGATTACAACTACAGTTTTGAACTGTCTGTAAATCCTTAGGTCAATGGAAAGATTAATACCCGGTGAGTAAAGGGAGCAGGAAAAATGAGATACAATAAACAGGTGGTCTTTATTCTGGTGTGGTCACTTGTACAGGTTTGTGATTGTAAAAGGAGTCCATTGGTTGTTTTGGTGGAAAGAAGTACAACAGTTACTGTACATTGAAGAAATCCATTGAGCCACCCACCTGCCAAAGATCACATACACACTGGTGCATATCAGTGTCACGGTCCACTGTCAGAGGTGGTTCTAGTTGTGCAGATAGCAGCAATGCTTCCTTGTCAACTTTTCCTGGTAACAACAAAACAGAATCATCAACTTAGGCCACACCAATTTAATTTGTTGGTTCTCGGATTCGCCTCTTCGTTTTTTTCTGATTTGCAAAAAAAAAATTTGATTCTGGTCCTGAATCAACTGAAAAATGCTCATGTTTTGCCCCCCAACAGTTGA